GTTTCCTCCCTCTCCTCCTTCAGTTCTTTTCTCAAAGAGCACCTTTCCAGCAAAGCCTTCCTTGACTAATTTATCCCCCTTATTCTGCTCTATTTTTCCTCATAGCAATTGTCACCTTCTGACAGATCCTGTAATTTACTGGCTTACTATGTTTTACTGTCTGTCTCCCCTCAATAGTATGTAAACTCCATAGGAACAGGGATTTTTCTCTGCTGTATATGGTGTTATATTCCCAGCACCTCAAACAACTTGGTACATAGTATAGCACTTAATACATATACGCTGAAGCAGCGAATGAATGGATTTGTTATCTATTACTGCATTACAAATTACCCCCCAGATTTAGCAGCTTCAACCACAAACATTCACTCACATGGTTTCTGAGGGTCATGCATCTAGGAGCTGCTTAGCTGGGTGGTTCAAGCTCAAGTTTCCCCATGAGACTGCAGTCAAGCTATTGGCCAGAGCTGTAGCCGTCACAAGGCCTGGCTAGGGCTGTCGAACCCAATTCCAAGCTCACAAACATGGTTGTTGGCAGACCTCGTTCCTCACCAGCTGTTGGCCGGGAGTTTCGGTTCCTAGCCACATGGGCCTCTCCACAGGGCTGCCTCATGTCATGGCAACTGGCTTCCCCCAAAGTGATGAGAGCATGAAAAGAAAGAAAGGGGGAAGGGAGAGAGAGTGGAAGTGAAGCAGGGAAGAGAAAGAAAGAAAAAGAGAAAAGAGTGAGGGAGGGGACAAAAGCACTTGAGACAAAAGACAGTCTTTTATTACCTAATCACAAAAGTGACATTCCATCTGTGGCAGACAAAATAATGGTCCCCAAAGATGTCCAAGCCCTAATCTCTAGAACCTGTGAATATGTTACTGACATGGCGAAGAGATTTAGCAGATTAAGTTAAGGATTTCATTAAAGTGGGGGAGATTATCCTGCATTGGCCCCATGGGCCCAATGTAATGACAGGGTTCTTATCAGGGAAGGAGGCAGGCAGAACAGTTGGTGACAAAAAGGGAGACTTGGCATGGGAGCAGTGGAGTGATGCACTGTGAAGATGAGAAAGGGGCTGTGAGCTGAAGAACTGAGGCATCCTCTACAGGCTAGAAGAGACAAGGAAACGGATTCCCCCTGGAAACTTCCAGAAGGAACACAGCCCTGCTGACAGCTTGACTTTAGCCCAGTAAAACCCATGTCGATGTCTGGCCTCCAGAATTGCAAGGTTGTAGCTTTGTGCTGTTTTAAGCCACGGAGTTTGTGGTGATTTTTTCCAGCAGGAAGAGGAAATGATTACACCATCACTCTGGCCATCTTGTACTGGTTAGAAGTGAATCAGCCCAGGGCGCCTGGGTGGCTCAGTTGGTTGGGCGACTGCCTTCGGCTCAGGTCATGATCCTGGAGTCCCGGGGTCGAGTCCCGCATCAGGCTCCCTGCTCAGCGGGGAGTCTGCTTCTCCCTCTGACCCTCCTCCCTCTCATGCTCTCTGTCTCTCATTGTCTCTCTCGCAAATAAATAAAATCTTAAAAAAAAAAAAGTGAATCAGCCCACATTCACAGGGTATGAACGCCAGGATGCACGGTTGTTGGGGGGCACTTTAGAGGCTGCCTACTACAATGAATGAGTTATTATTAACCCTACTTTATAGATAGATAAACCGAGGCTCAGAGGAGTGAAGTAACTTGCCTGAGGTCATATAATTAATGATAGTGAAGCGGGTTTCATCTGATCCTCAAAATAAATTCCAGACTCTTGACAAATAGCTAGGAGTGACTATCTGATCTGGGCCCTGCCTGCCTCCATCTGCACAAACACAGCCCATTGATTCCCACCAGAGGGCTTTTACACCTGTTGTTTCTTCTCCAGAATTGCTCTTCAGTGAGCCGGCTCTTTCTCACCTTCAGGTCTCAGTTCAAATACAAGTTTTCCCAGATAACAAAATAACTTTCCTTCACCCCTTTTTACTTTATCTTTACTTTGTTGGTTTGTTTGTTTACTGTCTGATGTCTGTTCCCATTACTCCGAGCTCTCATGAGGACAGGGGTTTTGCCCGCTTTATCATTGCTGTATCCCCAGCACTGGCACATAGTAGGTCCTCAGTAAGTCTTTGCTGCGTGGATGAATGAGTGACTTCACAGGGAGGTAAAACAATCTATTCAACTCACTTCTCTAGGCATCTTGAAATAACGGTTCTTAGGGGCACCTGGGTGGCTCATCGGTTAAGTGTCTGCCTTCAGCTCAGGTCATGATTTCTGGGTTCTGGGATCGAGCCCCATATTGGGCTTCCTGCTCTCAGTAGGGAGTCTGCTTCTCTCTCTCTCTCTCTCTCCCCCCCCCCCCCCACCCCCCTGCTCCTTCTCTCTCTCTCTCTCAAATAAATAAATAAAATCTTAAAAAAAAAAAAAAGAACGGTTCTTAGTTGGCCAGCTTATGAAGATTAAAAGAAAGAAATAAAAGAAGTCACAAGGCCTAGAGCCACAGGATATATATTTTTTTTTAAATGAGAGTTTCAGTCCAATCACCACCAGGCTGGACTTGGGGGTGTTCACGGGGCTCTGGGCTGTGAGAGTCCTTTGTCCCCAGAGCAGGCAGAACCCTGGCAGGAGGGGTGAGCAATCCCCCAGCACCACTATTTGGGTAATAGCTAAGCCTTTTCTTCCCAGGCTGGTTCTGCTGGTCCCCACACCCCTTCCCGCAGGCAAAAATCTTCCCTACTTAACCAGGAACTGGAGCTCTCTGAAGACTCTGCAGGTCAACCCTGAATTGAATGAGGGTTGTCGGAGAGAGACAGACTCGGTTAGCGAGGCTGGGTTCTTGTGGTCTTGGACAAAGAACCTGTTTTCTCAATCTCTCTCCCTCTTTTGGGGGGAAGGGGGAGCTTGAGTAAAGAGAGTTGAATTATAACAGTTCAGTCTCATAGTTGGTTTGTGTAAGACTCCCCTCCTCCCCAACTCTGTTTAATAAATATACTTTTTAAAGATTTTATTTATTTATTTGAGAGAGAGAGAGAGAACAAGTGAAGGGGAGGGGCAGAGGAAGAGGGAGAAGCAGGCTCCCCATGCAGGGCTCGAACCCAGGACTCCGGGATCATGACCTGAGCCGAAGTCAGACGCTTAACCAACTGAGCCACCACCCAGGGCGCCCCTGAATTTCATAGAATTTTTATTTGTTACAAAATATTCTTCTGATTTTTTTCCCCCACCATTTAAAAATGTAATAATCACTCTTGGCCCATAGGCCTTTGTGCACTGACCCCTGGTCTGGTTCATTGTTTTGAACTACTGCATAATTATTCCATAGTTCAAAATATTCCATACTTCACATATCTGTTCCCATCGAGGGGTATTTGTTTATCTCCTATTCCCAGCTACCACAAGCAACAGCAGCAGAGAACATCCTTGGTTATGTGGGAAGATCCCCAGGATATTTGCCTCAAATTGCTGCGTTTCAGGGTATTGGTCTACACTCCACAGTAGTTCATGGGAGTCCCATTTCCTCCAACTTTCTAATGTTGTCGTGGTGTTTTCCAACTTTCTAATGTTTGCCTATCTAAATTGGTATCTCCTCCTTCTTTTAGCTTGGATTTCCCCAATAGCTAATGAATGTGAACATCTCTTCGTATACTAGCATCCATTTAAGTTACCTCTCTATCTACCCGTGTTCCTCACCCATTTTTCCATTAGATGTTTCTGACTTTTTCTGATTGGGAAGACTTCCCCATCTTAGGCCAGTTTCCTCCTAGGCACCACAGTTACCTACAGGGCTTTTCTGAAATGCTGTTTCTGAAATAGGCTCTTTATCCCTGTTTCTGAAATCTCAGTGTCTCAAATAATGAGAATTGGGCCTTGGGTTGGGTTTTTAGGTCTATCATCTCATTTTAGCAATCTAATACTCAGGGACTATTACTGAGACTCCTGGTTCTGGGAGGTTAATTACCAACCCAGGACCACCCACAGGGATTATGGGGTTGAGCAGATGCTGAAGCTGAGCACCATTAGGAAGAGCTTGGACTGCATATCAGAATAAGACAGAAAACAGCACTTCTGGGCCAAATTGGAAATGTTTCTAAATGATAGGAGGCAAGACGCTGGAGAGAACAGGGCCTTCTTTTTCCAGCTGGTGCAAGTGAAACAAGTTCTCAACCTTTCTAAATGGCAGTTTGACCATTATGTGCCAAAAGCCGTCAACACCTGCACACCCTTTGACTCAGCATATTTCCTAGGAATTTGTCCTGAAGCAGGAATTGATGAAAGGCAAGGAGAAATGTGTTTGGTGGTTGGGGGTTAAAAAAAAATCACTCCTGGGGCGCCTGGGTGGCTCAGTCGTTAGGCGTCTGCCTTCAGCTCAGGTCATGATCCCAGGGTCCTGGGATCGAGCCCCACATCGGGCTCCCTGCTCAGCGGGGAGTCTGCTTCTCTCTCTCCCTCACTCCCCCTGCTTGTGTTCCTGCTCTCGCTCTCTCTCTGTCAAATAAATAAATAAAATCTTTAAAAAAAAAATCACTCCTAAATATCCCACTTGAGGAGATGGAATACTGTATATGCTATCTTAAGAAAGATATTCTATAGGATTTCTAATGCTACGGAAAAAATTTAATAATTCACTTAAAATGGGGAAGAGATCCATAGTGGATCCAGAATGATATCCTTTTTGTAAAGAAAATACATATGTGAGGGGCACCTGGGTGGCTCAGTCGTTAAGCGTCTGCCTTCGGCTCAGGTCATGATCCCAGGCTCCTGGGATGGAGCCCCACATTGGGTTCCTTGCTCAGTGGAAAGCCTGCTTCTCCCTCTCCCACTCCCCCTGCTTGTGTTCCGTCTCTTGCTGTGTCTCTCTCTGTCAAATAAAATCTTAAAAAAAAAAAAGAAAATATATATGTGAGTAGAGAACTCTAGGAAAATGCATTAATGTATTGCTATGGGCCATGTACTGTTTTTAGTGCTTTACAACTTCACTTAATTCTAACACAACAATTTAAGTACGTGCTGTTGTTATTCCCATTTTACAGGTGAAGAAACTGAGGCCAAGAGATGAACGGCCCAGGATCACACAGATGGTAAGTGATGAACCCAGGATTTGAACCCTGGTGGCTAGCTCCAGAGCCACCACAAAATATTCCCCAAGGTCACCTGCATATTTACTCCTGGGGAGTGAGACCAAGGTGATCCTTACTTACTTTTATTTCCTGATTTTTCTACAATTAATTTTTTTAAGAAGATTCTCCACCCTAGCCCCCTTGTAGTGGTTGAGGCCTTTGGAAAATAGAGTCAGGAGATGTTGGGGTTGGGAGCATTGTGGGGAAAAGAATCAGGAACAGGATGGAGCTGTTGCTTACCTCAGATCCTACCCCAACCCCAAATCCTCTTTCTTTTCACTCATGTCAAGGAAATCGAAGGTCAGATATCAACTATACAGCGTTGGACCCATTCCTTACCCCTCCTGGGCCCTTTTCCAGATATGTCATACGGACTGAATTTCTGGAGAAGCCCCCCCTTTTCCCTCCCTCCCCAGGACGCAGGGTGAGGCAGAAGGAGGAAAGCCTTGCTCAGTAGTGCTGGGAAGGAAAGGAGGGAGAGGGGGCGAGGCAGAGGAGTGAGAACAGGGAGTGACAGGTCTAGGGAGGGGTCTGCTCCTGTCATCTCCGCTCCCCTGGGGCTTGGAGGAGTGACTGCCTCGTCTCTGAATGCAACTAGGAAGATCAGGGCTGCAGTCAGCGCTAGAGAGGGCGTCTAAAGACCTGGGTTCTGCTCACACCTCACCATTGGCCACCTATGTCCTAGAACAAGTCAGTCCCTTCTTGAGCCTTGGCTTTGTCCAAGGTTGAAGGGATTCACGCCTGGCTGTTTGTGACAGCATGAGGAAAGGTGCTTTGTGAAAGGCTAAACGAGCATGGACCGCCTCCGGGGTCAGCAAACGACAGTGCACCTCTCGTCATGCCTTTTTCACGGCTTTGTTGAGACCTAATTGACTTACCACGCAGTTTACCCATTAAAATGCGCGCTGCGGGCGATTTTAGCATATTCACAGAGCTGTGCTACCAACACCACAATGCTTTAGAACATTTTATCACCCCAAAGGAAACCCAGTGCACTTCAGCCGCCACCCCCAGGCCCCTCACCACACCCCCGCAGCCCCAGGCAGCAACCCCCATGCTCTCTGTCCCCATAGACACTTCCTCCCCATGTTAGCCTACAGTATGCCCTTTGTCCTTCACTCAGCGCGTTTTTAAGCCTCATCCACGTTGTAGCACGTGTAAAACTCACTCCTTTTCACAGCTGAACAGTATTCCATGGTATGGCTATACCATATTTTGTTTCTCTGTTCATTACTTGATGGACAGGTGTGTTTTCCTTCTACTTTTTGGCTGTTGCACATAGTGCGGCTCTAAACTTTGATGGACACATTTTTTTTTTTTTAAAGATTTTATTTATTTATTCATGAGAGACAGAGACAGAGCGAGAAGCAGGCTCCCCGCAGAGCAGGGAGCCCGATGCGGGGCTCGATCCCAGGACCCTGGGATCATGACCTGAGCCGAAGGCAGACGCTTAACCGACTGAGCCACCCAGGCGTCCCGATGGACACATATTGTATGGACGTATGTTTTCATTTCTTCTGGAGAGAGGAGTGGAATTGCTGGATCAAATAGTAATTACTTGAGGCAGCACCTGTTTTATACAGTCCAGGAACTACGAATGTGGTTTTTTTAAATGTTTTTAAATGGTTGGGGAAAATCAAAAGGATTATAATACTTTGCAACATGTGAAAATTATATAGACATCAAATTTCAGTGGGCCACGAATGAAGTTTCGCTGAACAGCCGCATCATTCCTTCACCTGTTGTCTGTGGTGCTTTTGAGCTACAATGGTAGAAATGAGTAATGTGACAGGCCTGCAAAGCCTAAAATATTTACAATCTGGTCTTTCATAGAAAATGTTTGCCAACCTCTGAACTACGGGTTGGTGCTGTTATTATTAATTATTTACTGTTTGGTGGAGGCAGCCCGGGTATGTACTGCCTTGATGGGAACAGGACTCAGGTCGCCAGCCCCTCTCTGCCAGGTCCTGGCCAAGGAGCATAAAGGATTGAGAGCTCCCAGCCCCATTTTCTGGACTGAGAAACTGAGTCCTGCGGGAGGGCGCAGGCTCATGCAAGATGAGGAGGAAGTGAGGGCATCTGGTTCTTCTTCTCCTGGGCAGCCTCCTCCCCTCCGGCTAAGAAGACCAGCTGTGAATAATTCATGCTTGGCGTTTGCAGAGCACTCCATCTTTTCAGAGCACTTTGATCATCATTAATTAGTCAGAACCTGGCTCCAGCTGTCGCCTATTAAAACTCGAACAGAAGTGGCTTTGATGGCTCCATCCCGAAACCTGGAAGCTTCCATCTCCATTCCAAGGCTTTGTACCACAGAGTCCTCTCTGCCCATCACCTCTTAAAGCCCTAGAACCCACTGACTTGGCCCCAGAATCAGGTTTCTTGGAGGAAAAGGGCAGTACCAGGGTTGAGAGGCCTCCCACAGGACCCTCATAGGTGGTGTCTTCTGAGAAGTCACGTCCCCTCTCTGCCCGTCAGGAAGATACAAATAAGGATGCCTGTCTCTGGGGTTGTTGTGGGGATTAACCAAGTTTGTACTTACAAAAGTGTTCTGAGAGGAACCCTCATACACTGCTGGCAGAAAGATAAAATGGCACAACCACTTTGGAAAAAAACCTGAGTGGTCCTCAAATGATTAAATGTAGAATCACCGTATGACCCAGCAATTCCACTCCACTCCACTATGTGTTCGAGAGAAATGAAAAACCTGTACATAAACATTCATAGCAGCATTATTCAGAATAGCCGAAGAGTAGAAATGGCCCAAATGTCCATCAACTGAAGACAAATAAAATGCGATATATCCGTCCAATGGAGTATTACTCAGCCATAAAAAGTAATGAAGTTTGGCAACAGATATGTGCCTCAACGGAGACAAACCTGAAAAACATGATGTTAGGTGGAAGAAGCCACACACAAAAAGGCCACATATGGTATGACTGCATTTATATGAAATGTCCAGAGTAGGCAAATCCATGGAGACAGAAAAGAGATTAGTGGTTGCCAGGGACTGGGGAGGGAATGAGGGTAACTGTAAATGGACGTGAGGTTTCTGTTTGGGGTGATGGAAATGTTCTAAAATGGATCATGGTAATGGTCACACAACTCAGTGAATATATTAAGAACCAGCGAATTGCATGCTTCATATGGACAAGTTTTATATGTAAATGATACCTTAATAAAGCTGTTTTTTAAAAGGGCTCTGAAAACTGTAAAGCGATGAGCACAGGGGTACTCACCTGCATCGAAGATGATCTAGCCTAATGGACGAGCTGAGTGCCCTGACCAGTCCGTTTAGGGTAGTTCTTAAGACTGGAAATCAGAGACGCCTGGGTATCTTGCTATCTATGACCTCAGGCAAATCATTTAACTCTCTGATCCTCAGGTTGCCTATCAGTAAAACTGGGACAATAATCTCTGTCTCGGGGCACCTGGGTGGCTCAGTCAGTTAAGCGTCTGACTCTTGATTTCAGCTCAGGTCATGATCTCAGGGTCCTGAGTTCAAGCCTCACGTTGGGCTCCAATCCTGAGCGTGGAGCCTACTTTAAAAAAAAAAGAAGAAGAATCTCTGTCTCTTGGGACTGTTGTAACAATATTGTAGGAACATTTGAGCTTGGTACACAACACCTAGTGGGTGCTTGGTAAATGATGATTTCCATGTGGAGTTACCTGATCCTCCCAGCTGCTCCCAGGGGCTCCAGGGAGCAAGTCCACGCCGCTCCAGTCCCCTCAGAACCTACTGTTTCCCAAAATTGCCTGATCGTAGAAATTATCTGGAGCATCTGTTAAAAATACAGATTCCAGAACCCCACTTCAGCCCCATTGATCAGAATCTATATACATATATATTTTTTAAAGATTTTATTTATTTATTTGACAGAGAGACAGCGAGAGCAGGAACACAAGCAGGGGGAGTGGGAGAGGGAGAAGCAGGCTTCCCGGCGAGCAGGGAGCCTGATGTGGGGCTTGATCCCAGGACTGGGATCATGACCTGAGCCGAAGGCAGACGCTCAAAGACTGAGTCACCCAGGCACCCCAGAATCTATATTTTTTAAAAATTGTCCAGGTGAGTCCTGTAATCAGGCAGATTTGGGAAACCAGGCTGGTCCAACTTGACATTGTTTTCCTTCTTATTTATACCCTTCTCTGCAAACTTTTGAACTTCTGTGGTTTGCTATTTCACTCTGACTTGCCACTCTGTCCCTATTTAAGAGCTCATGCTCTTGACTTCAGTAACACTTGAAAGTTTATAATTTCCTCATACTTTAATCCAGGGCTAGGATTGGTAACATTAATAACACCCGCCAGAGTGAACCTACACATGATTGGCCCTCGGCAAGGCTTTCCAAGGTACCTTTATATCCTCACAGCAGCCTTGTGAGTGGGTTTAAGTAAGTTAAATAACTTACCCGAGGGTTTTAGGAGAGTGAGTGGCAGAGTGAGAGTTGAAACTCAGTTCTGCATGACCCCAAAGCCATCCTAATTAACCTTACACTATACAGTATGCTGTGGTTATCCCAGTTCTTCATATGAGGAAATAGGAGCTCAGAGACATCAAAGGACTCTTCAAAGATCACGCTGCAGCTCCTTCACTAACAAGCCAAGGCTGAGGTCCAGACTTCTCTGCCCTCCAGTCTGGGCCTTTCTCACTCCATCCCCTTGTGACATGAATCCCACTCAGTGACTTTACCAACAAATACCATATAGAAAGAAAAAAAAAAAACGGAATGCCTTTTAGGGCCAACTGAATATGCTTTTTTTTTTCACTTCTAGGCAATATTCCCAGTGACTCATAATAGTGGTTAATACTTACTGAGCATTTTCTTTGTGCCAAGCATTGTTTTAATCACTATATTTCTATTAACACACTTAGATCCTTGCAACAAAAGATGACATGGGTGCCATTATCATGATTATCATCACCCCCATTTTATATATGGGGAGACTGAGGCACCAAGCCACGA